CCTAAAAACCTTGTGGTATATAGATGTAACCTACATACGATCATACAAAGCCAATTGAGCATTGGAAACCACCTATGTTTTACTCAAGCCATAATAATGTATTTGAATTTGCAGTAGTTATACACAGTTTACTTATACTTACAGTTAATATTTTGAGTGGCTCATGTACTGAGACAACACGAGAATGGACCAAATATTATAAACTTTGATATCTCAGTCGGTAGGTTTACAGATTATATTCTGTTTCTTGTAGACCACCTGGCAGATTTGACCCAGTCTTTATAACCAACCATATATACGTCACCGAATGGAACTAGTTTAAAAGGAAATCTTATCTGTGAATATTTCCTACAGGCGAGAAAGAGGACATGCTGCCTTTCCCATCCGCCATTTTTTGTTATCGTTACCGCAAAATTTTGCAAATCGCCTTGACGTAACCGTCATGCTATAACACCGTGAATAGGGGACCATAAGTTTACACATTCCATGTGTACGTTCATCAAAATAGTGCGATCTTAACCTCCCTAATAACTGAAATTGTTGACTCAACCAATAGAATCATTCTATGTTTGTTTATATTTGTTCACATTAATATGGAAGAAAATCGGACATTTTGCTAAAAAGATGTTATTGTAAATCTTAGAAACAATGATAAAGGTAGTATACACCACACACTCAATGGTATTGATTGTGGTTTTCAGAGACTCTCAATAGGGACTTTAAGCTTGCAATGTTTTTCACAACCTAAATGTGAATGGAAAATATTTAGCGATGCATTTGTATGGGCGATTGGTCATAGGTTGGCGTTTCGATTTTATATGCAAGCTTAATCTCCCTAATGTTAACATTAAGGTAAGAGTGTATGTTACTCATAACATTTTCTTAGGGTAACATTTCTTGAATTGATGAATATGCAAAAATTATTCTTAGCATATCATCCTTCATTTCATTATTTGAATAATCAATCTGGAGATAAACTCAAATAAGGAAGTGTGTTATAAAACATCATCATATATGTTCAATGTTTTTTCAGAAGCTGGATCAAAATATTTGTCTTACTAAAATTATTGGCAAAGGTATGATGTACTAAATTGTACTGTATTTATGATTTTAATAGCACTGTACCTCGTGAATCATTACTGATAAACAAGATACAGAAAACCTGTTCAAAGTAAATGCTATAATTAGGCATCATAGAAATTATCATAAAGAGAGGTATTTAGAATTTTTTAGCAACTTATAAATAATAAAAAAAGAGACTTCTACAAACCATCAGTGTAAAACTTACAAGTGATAGCACAGTGTGAAAAACAAGCACCAGAGAATAAACAAAGGTGGCATCAAAGCACCTAGTACAGATGGATATAAACAAACAAACAAAGCAACTTACACACACACACACACATTATCTCGTTCCAAGACTATCTCTACGTTCTAGTCTTGCGAACGTCTTATTCTTTTGTCTGTACGATTACAACGTGGGAGAATTTTCTACGCTACTTACACTTAAGATACCTATTTCAATAGATTCCTTGGTATTTTAGCATTCTTTTTGTGTAGTTGAATCCACAATTGTGTGGGTTTATCGGCAGAACGAAGAGGTTTTCAGTTTTGATAGCAATATTTGCGTGTAATATTTAACTTATTCGACCGTCAAATTCCTCCATTCAGTTCCCGGCATGCACCAGTCATAAGGGAAATCCCTGGGGAATTCCCCTTCCGACATTTTGAAAATTGCTGATATATTTCCGATGTAAAAACTAAAATCTCTTCGTTCTGCCGATAAACCCATACAATTGGCGATCTAACAACATAAAAAGAATTCTAAAATACTCTGGAATGTATCGAGGTAGGTCATTTAATAGTGCAATGCGTAGTTCATTCTCCGACATTGTAGAAAGACAGGCTTACCAATGATACCGGCGTACGACCACAATCTAAAGGGGTCGTAGGATGCGATAAACACACACAGGTTTAACTGCACTCAAACATTAAACAGTCAACTTGACAGGTATTCAGAATTTTTGGGGAAATGCTGCGGTTATGCTCCATTGATTAAACAGGGGATCAAACAGCAGGGGATCAAACAAGTCCAACTTTCATTTATGAAAACATTTTGAACTAACTTTATGGCACACTAATGACATCTTATATGAGTGTGCTGTACTAAAAGCATAGCTTTTAGATCCCCATTGGATCCCCTTATATTGGATTATCATAATCCTAATCCACGAGGAGTTCCTTATATATTTTAAGTGATGAAACATGTGTTCAAGTACAATGTAACTTTGCATGAAAATTGTAAAGAAAAATTAGGGACGATGGTGAAAATGACGATTGTATTTTGAAAAAAGCTTGTTGATGGGTGGATTAAACATGGCTTATGAGATAATCCAATTGATCTTGAAACCATTCTTTGAATTTTTCTTAAAGATTATACATTGGCCTTTCATATGCATTCATTTTTGTACAGCCAGAAACTACTAGAAAAAAATTATTTACTGTCAAAAATCTGTTGCGATACTTTCCCTCGCTCTTTGGCTTATGTTCTGCGATTTATATCAACATTCATTCGATATTGATTTAACGTAGAATGTAGATGGAGCGAATATGGCGTGGATAAATTTGGCTTATGTTATGCGACTTATATCAACATTCATTCAATATTGATTTAACGTAGAATGTAGATGGAGCGAATATGGCGAGGAGAAATTTGGCTTATTTTCTGCAACTTATATCGACATTCATTCAATATCGATTTAAATGTAGATGGAGCGAATATGGCGAGGAGAAATTTGGCTTATGTCCTGCGACTTATATCAACATTCATTCAATATTGATTTAACGTAGAATGTAGATGGAGCGAATATGGCGAGGAGAAATTTGGCTTATGTTTTGCAACTTATATCGACATTCATTCAATATCGATTTAAATGTAGATGAAGCGAATATGGCGATGAGAAATTTGGCTTATGTTATGCGACTTATATCAACATTCATTCAATATTGTTTTTTAACACAGAATGTAGATGGAGCGAATATGGCGAGGAGAAACTTGGCCAATGTTCTGCAACTTGTGGAGGTGGCATAAGAACAGTGACACGTATAAGATACAAGTTGTATGGCTATGCAGAGACCGGGGACCGAAATTGCTATGGTTCGAACACTGATGTGAGAACCCAATCATGTAATATTCAGCCATGTTGGGGGCCTCCGCCACCTCCACCTCTTCAACCTACCCCGCCTCCCATTATAGGGAAAAGTGAGTAACCAGTCGAATCGTATCACTAATACTATACTAAACAATACCTCACTTCGGCATATTATAATTATTTAAAGGATATTGTTTAGATCAAATAAATGTAACCAATACAGAATCTGCACTAACACTCATATCAACATTTATCAAATATTGATTTAACGTAGAATGTAGATGGAGCGAATATGGCGCGGAGAAACATGGCCAATGTTCTGCAAGTTGTGGGGGTGGCATGTTAACAGTGACACGTAAACGGACTAAATTATATGGCTATACAGAGACTGGGGACACATATTGCTATGGCTCGGACTCTGTTGTTGTGAGAACCCAGTTGTGTAATATTCAGCCGTGCTGGGAGCCCCCACCACCTACACCTCCTCCAACTTACCCGCCTCCCGTCATAAGTGAGTAATCAATCGAATTACATGTATCACTAGTACAATGATAGTCAATATCGTAGTTAGGTATGACATAAATTTTGAGAATGTATCTTTGGTCAAGCGAAAATAGATAAAACGATTACAGACTCTACACTATATATATATTTGTGATACTCCCTAGAACTGCTTGTTGTGAATTGAACAAAACATATTCGTGTTGGATGTAAATAATATTATAATCTATATTTCTATTCACAAGTTGGGTCTATAAAACTGGATCTGGTTAGGCGCTAGGCGATACGAACGTACCACCTAGAATGGCCAGATTTTTAGACCCAACTTGTGAACAGAAATATAGATTATAATATTATATTATAATATATAATTATAATATTATTTATATTTATCTATATCCAGACCCTTTCATTAAGCATCAATGATAACAAAAACATTATATTACTTGACCCGATGAACTAATTTATCGATAAACAATACATATGGACATTTATATATTAATTTAGTACTCATACTGTGGACAATAAAAAATTTCAACCCATTCCCCACCTCCACCCACAGTTTTATAGACCCAAATATATATATACCTAGTTTTAACTTATCAGTAGATCAACTTTATGAATAAATGTTCTTTGACTAACATATACACTGTATATCACTTAATTTGCTCTGGATGTATTGTATGACCATTTTAACTGTTCAATTCACACTTTTTAAAATTTTAACTTTTGAAAAAATGTTTCTGACTTACGTTGTATCTCTTTTAGCATTTTTTGGATGAGAATGTTGGATCATTCGAACATTTTCTAGTCTTATGCATGTTCAAAAGTGTTTTAACAAAAAACTTGTTTACTTGTTTCTTATAATTAAGGAGATCGCATTATAATTAGATTATAAAGAAATAGAGAATGACATTTGATGGTTTAGTGAAAATATTCCTAGAATATGATGGTCAATTTTTCCAATTATTACCAAAAATACTGTCTTAATTCGACATAACATCGAATATAGAATATATAATTATGTATATATTGAAAAATACCTAAAGGCAATTTCCAAATAGAGTGGATGATTCAATACAATACAAATACAAGCCAGACTCATCACATCCTAATTAAAACTAATGTTTATACACTATAGACATGAGCTAAGGATAAGGGTATTGCCTCCGGAGGTCAAAGTTGCCGCTTTGTTGCAAAGATATAAAAAAAGTCCTGAACACTTTTCACACCTATCTAATGATATTATTATTCCCTTTCGTGTTTTGATGAATCGGAAAGTACATTCATGGCATTTCAAAAAATTTTCAAAATATAACATAATGCTTCTAGATTGCTACTGGGGAGGTTGGACCGAATGTGTATACGGTACTTGTGTTAGGAACCAATTACCTGCTGATGCGACATGTCGAATTCATGGTATTTCAAAATGTCAAAGAACCCGTCATTGCCATTGCACTGGAAAACGAACTGGTGTCGCAACTTATCATCAATGCGCAGGTCTTTCGATCGAATATAAACACAAATCATGCTGCTTAGACTGCTACTGGGGAGATTGGACTGAATGGGTATACGGTACTTGCGTTATGAGTTATTCAGCTGCTACTACGGATTGTCAGATTCATGGAATTTCAAAATGTCATAGAACCCGTCAGTGTTATTGCAGTGGAAGTGGTGTGGCCGCTAATCATCAATGCACTGGTCTTTCGATAGAATATAAACACAAGGAATGCTGCTATAATCACTCATATACAACCCCTCCGCCTTATCCAACTCGTAAGTAACAACTTACTCGTAAGAATGTCGTCGCTACATTGAATGCCATTGCATTTGAAAATCCTTTCAATATATCTTTATGTTTTTAGACTGCTACTGGGGAGATTGGACTGAATGGGTATACGGTACTTGCGTTAGGAGTCATTCAGCTGCTACTACGGATTGTCAAATTCATGGAATTTCAAAATGCCATAGAACCCGTCAGTGTTATTGTACTGGAAAACGAAGTGGTGTGGCCGCTAATCATCAATGCACTGGTCTTTCGATAGAATATAAACACAAGGAATGCTGCTATAGTCACTCATATACAACCCATCCGACTCATCCAACTCGTAAGTAACAACTTACTCGTCATTGCCATTGCTTTGGCTATCACCAATGCGTTGGTATTTCAATAGAATATACAAACAAGGCATGCTGCTATAGCCAACCATATTCTACACCCCCTCCGACTCATTCACCTCGTAAGTAACACTCTACTTGTAAGCATGTCTACATACTTTGATTTTTCATTATATACTTTTATATTAATTCACTCATTGATATCAATATAAGTACTCATTCGGTAATTTTACTCGCACAGATATTGATATTAACTCGTGGATATAAATGATATCACTCAAAATGAATTGGATATCCTATACTTATTACAACCCAAAATGAACAGAAATACATCCATTAGCGTTCATCTATTAGCACATTACTATGGAAAAGTGGTGCCATCTTAATATAAAATGCTTATTAATGTTTATTTGTGTTCGTACTATTCAAATGGCAAATGGTGGCACAGGTGTATAAACGTATACATATATTCATAAGCGTTTACTAAATAGAGAGGATAATATGCACGGACAACCTAAACATGAACCTGTGTTCATGCATACGCGTATAGGTTTTTCTAAATCTTCATTTTGAGCAGCAAAATAAGTGATATCACCGTATATACATTGATCGCCTATTAACACAAGTGCGTGAGAAATGACTCAACGAGATCCGCAAAATTCAAATGTATTGTAATGGTTATTTTTAAATGATTCATTGGTGTTTATTTTACAGGCTACTGGGTAAAATGCTTTAATATATTAAAGACAAAATAATATTTTTACACTCTTTAATTTCTTATACTAAGGCTAGGTCTTGGGTTTCCATTTGACCATGATAAAATTTGTTTCCTCTTAATAACATTGAGTAAATATTTGAACACAGAAACTAATGGATCAGCCTATAGTGTGAGTTTCAGCAGACCAGACACCCAGAAATTTTTTATTTTGATCATAGGAATAAGGGGGTTTCTCGCAAAATTTATGTCCGAAACCAAATATGATATTTATTTGGGGAAAATAAACATCACCGTCCTCTGATTCATTAAATAAAATGGTCACTGTGTGTGCTTATATTTTGTTTCGTTTTTTTTGTCTTTAGGTTTGAATACAATTGCCCTTTAATGATCTGTACAGTAGAACCTGCTAAGTGGAACACCTCACCTCATAAGTGGCACAGTTTTTTAAAGTCCTATGACCAATTTTCTACATGTAAATGAACCTCCGTAATAAGAACACAGAACGCCGCCAGATCGTTTGTAGTACGTACAGAAGTAGAGCTCAATAGAAAATACTGTTACTTACAAAGGTTCTATTGTATTTCAAAAGGGTATTGTCGACTATACTCGCTTACCAGTAGTTTGATTTCATATGCACTATTTCATTGGTCAACTCAATCAAACCCCTCACTTATGAGGTTGACCATCTTCGGATTCCAAGTTGGAGAAACTAAAGTCTTGAAAATCAAGCTATAGGCTGACTGGCCAGGTTGTTCTATTTACCTAGTTCATAGGAAGTTGATAATGTAGGCCGAATAATATGATATCCCATTCATTAAAATCCTGAATCAATCTCTGACAAAATAATAAGACTTGGACAGAAAGTTCACCCTCTGATTCCAAGGTATGATATTCTACAACGTGGTTTATAAGGTTCGGGAATTTAGGAGTTCGTATAGAAGGACAGTAATAACATGTGAATCCAACCATATTGAAATGCAAAGAACATAATATTATTAGAATCAACATGGTAAACTCTCACACTTGGCTGATCATAATTATTTCTCATAACATCCTTTTTACTCAGTACTGAAGGGAAGTTGGAACGTCTGATATCTTTGGAATGTTAAGTATTATGTGTATTAGCCATAGGTATGTTGGTTCTGTGGTTTCAGTTATCTAAAAAAAGAAAAATTGGTGAAATAGACCTTTTAGTTCGGCGGATAATTGATTTTGCTTTATTTTTCAACTCAATTCAGGTATTTCGGTTAAGCCAATCACTGAATCATTTTGCCAAATCAATCTTGAGTCTCTTATACAGCATATGGAATATCATTTTTAGGTAACATAATATTACAGTGGTAAAGAAAAGAGAAACAGACATACCTTTCCTCCGACATGTTGAATTTTGCGGATCTTGAGTCTTTCCTCAAGCACTTGAAATAATAGGCGATCACTGTACATACAGTGGATATATTCAGCTAAAACGTAAACGAAATAAGGAGTAGCATTGGCCTTTAAAGTAAAAAAAGATGAAATGGCCACAAATGATTGGCTGTAATACTGAATTTATTTGAACATGGCTATAGCCCAACAAACGATTTATTTGAGCCATTAAATGCATACACATTACACAACTATTCCTCAGATAAGCAACTTTGAAATTGTAAACATAAATATAAATACTTTTGCTTTTTTCATTTTTTCATGGAACAAAACTCAAGTCACTGCCAACTCAAAAAGCTAGAGTTTCGCGCCTAAATGGCCATATACATACATACATACATATACATGTTATGGGCATTGACCTTTAAAGTAAAAAATTAGTACCGTGGGTACTGGGCCCACATGGTGTTGCTTAAAAGTGAAAATAAAAAAGACGGGTATAATTTCTTGCAGATTTTTTGTGACAAAATTATTTCATACAACTACTCTTTACAAAGACATGGCTTTTTACAATGCAGGACACGTGAACTTATTTGTAAAGCTAGGAAATGGGCCAAAAGTGAATTTCCTGAGACAAAAATGGTGGCCATTTTGAAATTAGGCGAGATTTTGAAGCAGGAGTCATAGGTTTTTTTCTTTATTGATGTTGAACAAAATTATTTTAAATCGGGAATCCTATCTACAGAGGATTTAAAAAGTGTTGACAGAGGTTTAAAACTTGCCACTTTTTTGGGCTAACTGAGAGACAGATGGACGAATCAATGTTAACTAAAATGGCTGAAAATAAAAAAAAACTGATATAATATTTTGCCGATTTTTGTAACAAAATTATTTAATACAACTACTCTTTACAGTGACATGGCTTTTTACAATGCAGGACAGCTGAAATTATTTGTAAAGCTATGAAATGGGCCAAAAGTGAATTTCGCAAGACAAGAATGGTGACCATTTTGAAAATAGGCGAGCTTTTGAACCAAGAGTCATAGGAGAGTTTTTTGTATTGATGTTGAACAAAATTAACTTAAAACAGGAATCTTATCGACAGAGGGGGTTTAAGGCAAATGGTCCAAAAGTGGATTTTGCGAGACAGATGGACAAATCAATGTTAACTAAAATGGCTGAAAATAAAAAAAATGGATATAAGTTTTTGCTGATTTTTCGTAACAAAATTATTTCATACATCTACTCTTTACATTGACATGGATTTTTACAATGTAGGACACTTGAAATTATTTGTAAAGCTAGGAAATAGGTCAAAAGTGAATTTCGCAAGACAAAATGGCGGCCATTTTGAAAATAATCGAGCTTTTGAGCCAGGAGTCATAGGGGAGTTTTCTGTATTGATGTTGAACAGAAATAACTTAAAACAGGAATCCTATCGACAGCGGTTTTTAAACGTGCCACTGTTGTTGACGGAAAAGTGGATTTCACAAGTCAGATGGACAAATCAATGTTAACTAAAATGGCTGAAATTAAAAAAATAAATATAATTTTTCGCTGATTTTTTGTAACAAAATTATTTCATATATCTACTCTTTACATTGACACAGATTTTTACAATGTAGGACACCTGAAATTATTTGTAAAGCTAGGAAATGGGTCAAAAGTGAATTTCGCGAGACAAAAATGGCGGCCATTTTGAAAATAGGCGAGCTTTTGAACCAGGAGTCATAGGGGAGTTTTCTGTATTGATGTTGAACAGAAATAACTTAAAACAGGAATCCTATCGACAGAGGTTTTAAAACGTGCCACTATTGTTGACAGACAGACAGACAGACAGACGGACGGACGGACGGACGGACGGACGGACGGACGGACAAATGAGCGATTGCAAAAGCTCACCATGTGAGCTAAAAAAATGAGATGGCCACAAATGATTGGCTGTAATAGTGAATTTATTTGAACATGGCTATAGCCAAACAAAGGATTTATTTGAGCCCTAAAATGCATACACATTACACAACTTTTCCTCAGATAAGCCACTTTCAAATTGTAAACATAAATGTAAATACTTTTGCTTTTTAAGGCATTTTTTCATGGAACAAAACTCAAGTTACTGCCAACTCAAAAAGCTAGAGTTTCGCGCCTCAATGGCCATATAGAATTATTGAAACCGTTTAATACAATTAAGTACAGTAAAGTTATGTAATCTCAACCTCACTCAGAATCTCCTGTGTTATAGGTTCATCGCAAGAAGAATACCCAACTGACAACATTGAATTCACATTAAATTAACACG